CAATTTGAGTCCCCCATTCTTAACTCTCGTGGGTACATACCTAAGAATGAAATTGCTGAATCACATGGTAATTGTTTAGCTTTTTGAAGAACAACTTTCTTCCACAGCAGCTGCATCATTTTACATTCCTATTAGCAATGTGTAAGGGTTCGAATTTCTCCACATCCTCACCTACATTCATTTTCTTTTTGATAGTAGCCATTCTAATGGGTGTAAAGTAGTATCCTATTATGGCTTTGATCTGCATTTTCCTGATGATTAGTGATTTTGAGCTTCTTTTTATGTGCTTATTGGCCATTTGTGTCTTTGGATTAATGTCAAGTCTTATTGCTCATTTTTAAATTGTTTTTGTTTTTGAGTTTTAAGGAATTCTTTTATATTCTGGATATTAACTCCTTATCAGATAGAATTTACAAATATTTTCTCTCATTTTGTGTGCTTTTTCACCTTGTTGTGTCCTTTGATATATACACAATTAGTTTTCATGTTAATGTTGTACCTGTAACTTTGCTGAATTCATTTGTTTGCTCTAGTCTTCTTGTGGATTCTTTCAGATTTTCTATATTTAGCATCTGTGAATAGAGATTTCTTCCTTTCCAATTTGGATACCTTTTTCTTTCTTTTTGTACAATTATTTGGCTCAAACTTTTAGTACAATGTTGAATAGCAATGGTGAAAGTGGATATGCTTGTCTTGTTCTTGATCTTGGGGGAAAAGCTTTCGGTCTTTCACTACTGAGTTTTTGTTGTTGTTGGCTGTCAGTTTTTCAGAAATGTCCTTTATCATGTTAAGGAGGTTGCCTTCTATTTCTAGTGTTTTTATCATGAAAAGGTCTTGGATTTTGTCAAATGACTTTTCTGCATCAATTCACCTGATTATATGGGTTTTTCAACTCTGTCCTATTAATGTGGTATTTTGCATTGACTCATTTTTCTTATGTTGAGCCACCCTTGCATTTGTGATAAATTCATTTGATCATGGTGTATAAACTTTTTAATATGGCGTTAGATTTAGTTTGCTTGTTATTTCATTGAGGATCTAATAAGAGCTATCTTTCCATTTAAGGTGTTTATATTATTTCATGCAGTACTGTTATAATAGTTGTTCTACACTTTTGCTATGGGTTGGCATCTATCTATTTACTTTTTCCTTGAGAAGTGATCACCTGGTAATTCTGGATTGTATCCTGGACATACTGAATATTATGTTGGAAATATGAGATCCTGTTGAAATCCACTCATGAATAATTTTGTTTCAGAAAGGTAGGATTCTTTAGAAGTTTAAGCTGCCTGTACCACCACTACAGATACAGCTCTACGGAAGGGCCACGCTTGGGCCAAACAGGAAAAGAAAAATTAAATGGTGATTACCCTTCTTCAGACAGTGTCCTTTCCTGGTTCCTCTGCCCAGTTTTAGCTGCCAGAACCAAATTGTTACAGTCTTGCAACATTCACCTGTCCTAGAGGGAAGGTCAGGAGGGGAAAAAAGGAAAAAAAATTTCCTGTGTTCATAGGGTCTCTTTTCCCAGGTCATCTGGCCAGAGCTTAGATGGGTTCTTTCTGGGTTTTTGAAGCCTGATCTGAGGTTAAAAGCCATGAAAAAGTAAAATTACCAAGAAACACCTCTGTATGGATTGCTTAAGTTAAAACTCCCCTCCCTACTCTGTTTTTATTTTCCAGAGTCCTCAGGTAACTTTTTCTATTTTTTCCAATTTTTAGTTTTAGTCGGTAGGGGAGGCTATAGCGGGCTTGAATCTTGGCCAGCACAAGTTGGGAAGCAACTTTTGCTAACTCATGAACCTGTTATTTTCACACAATTTCACAAAAGCCAATACTGTTTTCCATTTAATTCTCCTCAAACTGATGCTGGGAGGTTACATTTGAGAAGGCTGAATTTGAGCTTGCTTTCACAAAACAGCTGTGTCAGCTACATTTGCTCAAATTCATGGTAGGAAGTTTTGAGAATTTATAATCTGTACTTAATTTTCACAACAAATGCTTTGTTCTTATTTCATTCAAATTTGCCTGAACATACTTTTGAGATAATCTTTTAGACTGGAGCTTAATAGTAATTGTCTTTATCTCCTAGATTTGATGGGGAGTTGGTTTTGAGAACTCTTGAATCTGATCTTGTTTTCATAGACTATTGTTTCAGCTACCTTTGTACAATTAACTCACCGTGAAAAGTTAATTTTGTGAACATTTGTATCTGTTCGCTTGCACAGTAATTACTGGGTTTCAGGTAGATAAGCTCAAACTTAAATTTGAGAAATTATTTTCAGAGTTTGTTTTCAAAACACTATCTTTTTTTCATCTAAATTTGCTTAAACTTGGCTGGAAAGATACGTCTAAGCATTTGTGCATTTGGGTTTGTTTTTACAAAAACTGCTACATTTCATCTAAGGTGTGCTCAAACTCACACTTCAAGTTTCTGAATCTGAGGTTTTTTGTTTTGTTTACGAAAGCTACTGTTTCAGTTAGGTATGCTTTGGGAGAGATTATCTTTTTGCCTTTCTCCAAAAGGCCACAGTGGAGGCAAAACAATGTCTCACATATTCTAGGCTTCTATCAATGTCATGTAGTAAAATTCCAAGAACCGCCAGCCCAGTATCTAGGACAGAGAATGGGCCAATTCTGGTCTGTGGATGGTTTTTGTATGATCAGTTAGCCAAGAATGGATTTTACATTTTTAAAGGGTTAAGAAGAAAAGGTATATGTGACAGATCATATGTGACCCGCCAAGCTTAAAATATTTACCATCTAAAGCTTTGACAACTCTCTTTGAGGATTACTATTCACAGACTGGAAAATGAAAGGTATTCCCTGGAACTGGGCAACACAGTGGCTTTGCTTCCTGTCCAGGAATGCTAAACTGACCAAATTTAGTACAAGGCAGCCCACCCCAGGGATGCATAAGCTCTTCCGCCTTCCTTCACCTCGCCTCCCTGGTTCTACTACCTCTCCGGCCACTTCTCTCTCTAGCTTTTCTTTCACCCACTACTCACATACTGAGAGTCTGGTCCTTAGCTCTCTGCTCCTCTATGCTGCCCATTCTAGAAAAATAATTAGTTCTAAGTATAATAGTTAAGAGCTAGAGTCAGGTATGCATTATTTTCCTCTCTTCCTAGCCATGTAAACTCAGGGAAATCACTTTAACATCTTTGGGCCTCAAGTTTCCCCATCTATAAAATGTAGATAATAATAGGGTTATCCTAAGAGAATTAAACGAGGTAAGGCACACCTAGCATCTAGGCAGTCAATAATATCAATAAGGCTGATAAATTTACCTACTACCATATTTTAAAAAGCCATTCACTTCAAAATCTTCTTTTCCTTCTGTGATAGACTAATAATTGCTCCCCCCCCACCCCAGTATGCACTGTCTTTTAGTGACAGAACTCCCCGAGTTTAAATGAACATACAACTATTCAGCTAGAGGCATTTTAGTCTTCCCCACAGGGTGGTAATAATGAGACTAGTTCTAGCCGATGATATCAGTGCAATTTCCAGGCTTGGACAAGGATATAGGGCTGATCACCTAGTTTATACCATGTAGATGAGAACCATTTAGGGGGAACAATGGGAGCAGTAAAACAATGAAATACTGGGTCCCTATATGATCTTGAACAGCTGCTTAACCCCAAGCCTGGACCACTCACCCATCTCTGGACTGCCACACGAGAAGAAAACTACAGCTGCCCTTGAACAACATGGGAGTTGAGGCGCCGACTCCCTGTTCAGTTGAAAATCCGCACATAACTCTGACTTCCCCAAAACTAAAGTTATCCCTTGGTAACTGCATACAAGTGGACTTGTACAATTCAAATCCATGTTGTTCAAGGGTCAACTGTATTTTGTTTGAAACATTCTTGAAGTCCCTTTGTTATAGCAGCTTAGCCTACAGCCTAATTAATATGCATCCCAAACTCTTATAATCTCCAGGTGCCTTGCTTGTATCCCAAACATAACCTCAAACTCAACGTCTCGGCCCATCCCGCATACCTGTTGTTCTTGTATTCCTGAACACAAAGGATATTCCAACTACTTCTTCATAAGTTTTATTATCTACCTATCCCCAGTCAGGAGAATCTGTCATCTGTGACTCCTACTATTCCCAGATTCATCTGGTCACAGAAAGCCTACCATTTGTTACAAACATCCCTCTTCAATCCCTTCCTCATCTCTGATCCTAACCACCCTGGCTTTTTACCTTCTGGTTGACTCTCTGCCTCCAATTCCAAACTCTACAATGCTACTCCATTACCATTCTTAAAACTGGATCCATTTGTGTATTCTGTTTCCAAAAGTCCAAAGCATTTAAAGTCTCCGTGACATAGCCCCAGCTTAAGTCTCTATCCCACACATACTCCACACATTTATTTCAACCATATACTTTTCCTCCTCCAGCACTATGCTCTTGCTCTTAGTCCTTTGTCTACATCAATGTTTCACAAATGTGAAGATTATAAAAAGTTTCCAATCTACTGTAGATCAATACTTTTGAAAATACACACAAATTAGAAAAACAATCATGCTTAGCTGTCACGGCAATAGCAAAATTCCTCAGTGCCTACACGTAACTGTGGAGCCTGTTCTGTCACGGACAGGTTAACTCCAGGTCCACACTGGTCCAAAGAGCACACTTCACACAGGTTTAGACACACTCTCCCTTCTCCTTGCCTGGTGAACCACCAGCCATCCACCAGCAAGATCCAACCATCCCTACTGCCTCCTCCATCATGCTTTTTCTTGATATTTATGCACCACAGTCACATCCTTTCAACATATCTACCACTATTTATGCTCCTATTATAACTTATTGAATGTCTTTACGATTTTCTGTTAAATAAAAAAGAGCAGAAAACTCTTTGAAGTCAGAAATATGTACAAGTCATCTCTGTATCCTGACCCTTGTGCCTGTCATGTGGTAGAAGCTAAGAAATACAATTACCAAATGACTGTGCAACACACCTCTGTGGTGACATGCAGACAAACAGGAACTATAATGACTCTAAATAGACCTTTAATGACTGGGATGTTTCAGGACTTAAAGGCTGAATGGTCGAGGCCATGGGGACAGAAGTGGCATGATCAGTAGGCTGTCTGAGACTGCTGCTGGCGGTAGCCACCCCGGCGCATGTAGCCCTCGTTTTTGCGGTAGCCATCCTTCTGGTCTGTAGGAGAGAGATGAGAAGGGGAGGGAGTGAATGCCAGGGGAGGCAGAAAGGGAGCCAGGACCCTGGGAGAATGGAGGAGATGGAAGCACTCACCTCGGAAGTAGCCACCATAGGTGCCCTGCTTGTGGTCAAACACCCGCTCGTTATTTTCCACCAGGCTGCCCAGCTTCTCCGCCAGCTGTAGAGCCAGGTTCTGTTGGGCAGTGGGCTCGGTGCGGTGCATCACCACTGTTTGCGTTGGCTGGTCCAAGGAGGCCTGATGGGAATGAGCCAGAGAAAGGGACATGACACGGATCAGACCCCTCGACTTTGAACTTACCATGACTCCACCTGCTAATTTACCACCGGCCCTTACCATCAATTCCTCGTTAATGATCATCTTGCTGATGATGGAATGCACGGTGGGCAGGTCCAGCTCGAACATGTCAGACAGTGTCTCCATGCTGGGGAGAAAGGCGGCAGGAGGCAGTTTAGGACCCTTGACCACAAAGCTGGGGCCCCTCTGCTTCCTCAGCACTCAACTCACCTGATGGAGTCATAGACACTGCTGTATGTGAAAAGGTAGGTCCGCAGAGACTCTTCTTGGATCTTTCTATGGGGAGAAGGGAGAGAAGATCTTCAGGGAAGGAGACCAACCACTCTTTTCTTCTCCCCCCATCACAGTCTCTCTCTGCTCACCTAACCAGCATGGTTCGGACTTTGTCAGCCTCGGGAAAAAGGTCCCACACTTTGCCGTTCATCTTCTCGTTGATGATAAAACTGTGGCAGGTCTTCCAGTCACCCATCTTCATGGCCTTTGAGGCAGCGACCACATGTTCCCTCATTGATTCAGGGGGACCTGAAAGGTTGGGAATGAGGTAGGGCCTGGGGACACTTGGGACCAGGGCTCCTGCCCCGACGAGCACTGTTCAAGGAAGAACACAGGCCAGGAGCACGAACAACCAGACTGGAGACTCTCCTATCTCTCTACTAAACAGCTTTGTGATTGTACAAAGTCCCTTAATGTCAGAAGAAATTTATTTAGATTTAGACTAATAAATTAATCCATGATGTGCTTCAGTGGACTAGTTGAGCCCCTTGAAAAAGTTGACAAACTGCTGTGTGTCTCCTCATGTACATTTCCCTAGAGAAAGGTCCACAGTTTTCTTCAGATTCTTCTAAGGCTCCCTGACCTGAAAAAAACTTAACATCTCAACTGGAACAGTATTTATGCAACTTCCTTCCATCTTATACTACCTTTATGATTTTTGCCATATCCGTGTATCACTGTTTTTTTTTCTTCTTTAAAGTGGCTCACTCCTTTTCCTTAAAAAATTTAGCTTCACTTTAAATTACCTCTGTGAAATCACAGGTTTCATGTGCTGATTATGGACTTGGGCCCCTAAATACTGTCCTGAGAGACAAGCCAGGAAGACAGATGTGGCAAACAAGAGTAGCTTGAATTCAGGGTAGACAAAGTATAAAAGCTCCAAGGCTGGAATAGATGGCAGGTGTATGGAAACATGAACATGGCTGACCCTGTAACAGGGACAAGAAGTTCAACTATGTACATGGTTCAGGCCCATGTAGAAATGTATGAAAAGGGATAAGTATAAGAAAAGGCACACGACCCTTGTGGATTAGCTTTCATTCTATCACTCTGAAAAAGGAAAGGTCAGAGGTTCAAAGAATATTTCTCTACAAACCACACAGCAGTGCACAGCTGAAACAGAACCTGGCTTTTGGCTCCACTGCAGTAACTGAGAGGCAGAAACTGTGGTGAACCAGACAGCCCTAAGAGGTGATGGAAACAGAGATTTTCACTGGAAAATTTCTAACAAAGTGTCACTACACAAGCCCAACAAGATTTGCCTAAAGGGCACCTACACGTAACACAACCACACATCCAACCAGTAGAGGACAAATCTGTAGGGAATGTAGCTGTGGAGAGTTAAGTCTGGCTCACCTGCCAAGCCTCCTATGTGCCAACCCCACAGGAAGAGCACAGTGGACAGCCCTTTCCCTGTGAAATCACAACTCACCCAGCCCCTGGACTGACTGATCAGCTCTTTCAGAAGTGATAAGAGCCAACGCTAGATTCCTGAATGCTTAGCTTGGCGGAAAATAATATGCATGAAGGGGAAAAAATAGAAAAAAAACTCAGAGAAGCCATGTTATTATGTTAAAGCTGAGTAGGTCAGTTAAATTCTGTGCCTGTTTCTTAATAAAGAAAAAGGAGTAATTACAGTACCTATACATCACAGGGTTGTTACTAATGAAGAGAAAATGAATTATTTATAAAACAGTGCTGGACAGAAAAAAAAGTACTATGTAAGGTTATGTTAAATAAGAAATATCATTGGAGTCAGGTCACAAGTTTAACTCAGTGACCAAGGAGACTGAACTTTATTCTGTAGGTAGTGAAGAACTTCTAAGGTGTTGGGGGTGTATAACATCATAAATTTGGTTGCATGATAATACTGACAAAGAGAGACTGAAGGGAGAAAACAGGAAGCAGGGAGCTTAATTTGTAGGCTAGAACAATGCAGCCTATGGCACCACAGAGACTAGTTAGTAAAAAGGATGCCTTTAGGTTCTACATGGAGATGTGACTAAAACAAATGGATTCATCTCATGGGAAAGTTACTCCCTTTAGCTTCTCTTAATCCTTTGATTAAAAATAATCAAGGGATGAACAAGCAAATTTTGCTCCTCTACAAAACCTCACACTCACCCAGCAAGGGCTGTCGCTCGCCCACCCGGAGCTGGTGATGGAACTGTTTGCTGATCATGCGACGGCGGGCATCACTCTCGTGAGCGGCCATGTAGGGAATCTCCAGGAGCATGGCAGACACCAGATAAACACACTCCAGCAGCTCCAGGTTGATATGCAGGTGGAAGGGAACCTGCCGGCGCCGCTCCACCTTCTCCTGCTCCTGGTTGCGCTCCTGCAGGCTGCGCAGCAGTAGACCCTGGCCCAGAAGCTCCTTGGCCCGGCCGCTTGACTGGATGTCCAGCAGGGCGTTGTGGGCATCCTTGGTCAGGCCTTGCCGGAAAGCGCAGATGCCCAGCTGCACCATGGTGCGGTTGTATAGGATCTGGGAGCAAAGAAACAGAAATGCACTCAGAGCTGACCACCACGAAGCAAGTTGTTTATTCATTCAACTAATAGACAAATACACAACAAATGATACATTGATGTGCTGAGCTGCCTGGGACAGAGAGCAAATCAGACAAGTCCCTGTCCATCCATGGAGCTTACATTCTAGGGGTGGGGTATAGAGAACAAAATCACCACAATATGCAGGTGGTGCTAAGGAGAAAAATAAAGCAGAGGAGGGAATTAAGAAAGGAATTTGTGTGGTGGTGGTAGTGTTGGGAGCTTAGTTATGTAGGATAACTAAAGAAGCCCTCATTTTGAAGAGAATGTTTAAATAAAGAATAAAAAAAGGAGAGAGCAAATTGTGCAGATAACTGGGAAAAGAAAAGCATTGTAGAAAAGAGAAAAAGCAAATGCAAAGACCCTGTGCAAGAATTGTGCCAGGTGTATCTGAGGAACAGAGAGTGTGATATGGCTAGAGCTGATAAAAGGTGTGACCGTAAACGGCAGGATGGGCAAGCGTATGTTAAGAATTTTAAGATGAGAAACCACAGGAAAGTTTTGAGCAAATAAATGATATAATCTGACTTAATTTAACATGGTTACTCTGGCTACTTTGTTAAAAATAGCCTGAAAGGATACAAGGGCAGAAGCAGAGAGAGACCAAGATGACAGTGGCTTAGACCAGAGGGTAGCAGTGGAAGTGATAAGTGTTCAGACATGGATTTTGAATAGAAATGGCTGGGGAAGCTGATCTAGTACATGAGAAAAACCAGAATCGAGGATGACACCAAGGTTTCTGGCCTAAGCAACTGAAGAGATGGACTTGCCACTAATTAAGGTAGGGAATATTATAAGCAGTCCAGATTTTTTTGTTTTTGGTGGTGAGGGGGTGAGACTTAGTATTGACAACAACAAAAATATAGAGGTCAATATCAGTAATGAACATAGATGCCAGGAGCCTTAAAAAAATATTAGCAAACAGAACCCAGCAACATAGCAAAGAAATAACATAGCATGACCAAGTAGAATATATCTTAGGAATGAAAGGCTGGTATAAAAATCTAAAATCATTGTTATTCAGCACATGAACAGAATAAAAGAGAAATAACTAGCATTTCAATAAACACAGAAAAAGCTTTTGACAAAATTCAACATCTATTTATAACAAAAATTCTCATCTAACTAGGATCTGAGACCTGGGATCAACTTATCGTCTAGGATCAATCTGTGAAAAGGCATCTACAAAAATACTGCAGCTAACATACTTAATAGCGAAATGTTGGCTGCTAAGAATGGGAACAAGGCAAGATGTCTGTTCTCACTACTTCTATTCTGCACAGCATTTGAGCTGAGTCATCACCATGGCAAAAAAGAAATAAAAAAGTAAAGTCATAAACATTAGTAGAATAATAAAACTGCCTCTACACAGATGACATGATTACTTTAGTAGAAAATATTAAAGAACCTATAAAATAACTAGTCACATATCACAAAACAACATTTTCATCAATGACGAACACATATATGCCGGTGGTATACCATATAGCCTCGGTGTGTAGTACTATACCATCTAGGTTTGCGTAAGCATCCTCTGATGTCCGCACAACCACAAAATCACCTACTGACACATTTCTTGAACCTATTCCCGCTGTCAAAGCAGTGCATGACTGTGCTAGACCTAATGAATTTAGCAAAACAGTAAAATACAGAGGTACAAAAATTATTTGTATTTTTATATGGTAGTAGTAAACAACTGGAAAATGAAAAAAAAATGCATTTACAATAGCATCGAAAATCACATAATATTCAGGAATAATTTTTAAAAAGATGTATAATACTGCCAACACTGCAGAGCGAAACTGAAGAGATAACATGTAAAACTAAAAGTTTCAATGTTGTTAAGATGTCAATTCTCCCAAAATTGATCTATAGATTCAATATAATCCTGATAGAAAATAATGGGCAAAAATTGACCAGACATTTCATGCAATAAGATATATACAGGACAAACAGGCAAAAAATTAATCAATTTCAACAGTTAGCAGGGAAATACAAACTAACACCACAATGAGATTCCATTATACAGCCACCAATACAGCTAAAATTAAAAAGACCTACAACACCAAACATTATTGGTAGCAGTATAAACACACATTGGTAGGAGTATAAAATGGTATAACCACTTTTGAGTTTTATAATAAAACTGAACATACACCTACTCTATGATGCAGCAATTCCACTCTTAAGTATTTACCTAAGAGAAAACATAGACCCACACAAAGAGTTAAACGTAAATGTTCAGAGCCGCTTCATTTATAATAGTCCCAAACCAGCTATCTATCAAGAGGGAAAACAGATTCATACAATGGAATAAAAAAGAAATGGGAGTGCTATTTAAAAACCACCACCAGGTAAGTTCTTCAAATGTTCCACACAAATATTTCTCAATTATTTAAACTCACATTTAAAGACACAGCGTTAGTACTCCTATGTCAAAATATCCTCACAATCACAATACACAAAATTAGTGGTTCCACTGTTATGCCCCAACACATCACATTACATTTGGGTCTTTGACTTTACAATTAGTTTGACAACTTAAGGGTTTTTTTTCATCTTTTGAAAACAAGATGATCTCCTAATGTGCTGATGCAGACATTTAATGATATAATAAACATTAGCTGAACCCAAATCTCTATCCCAGAGGACTCTAATGCTGTTGAACAGTAGGAAATTTGTTAACGTGCAGGAGGATCAAAGTCTGCTGGCATTTGATGAAATGTCTATTTATAGCTGCATCGATCAGATAGATGGCTAATCTGGTTGAACCACTTTGCCCAAATAGAAGATGGGGCCCAGCCTGGTCTTCCCTTTGCCACCAGTGCCAGAGTGCCTCCTTCTTATCCTACCTGTACTGGAGGGTCTGCGTGCTGAATGTTGTCTTGTAAGTGGCTCATAAGCATGAGGTCACGGGCCTGGTACCAGCGGGAGTGCAGGGCATGATGGTAGATATGGCAGAGGATGGCACACGTCCGGATACGGTCTGTGCGGTCCTTGGCATAGATGTACTTGCACAATCTCTCCATCAGCACAGCTGAGTCCTCGCCTTCATTTTCTACCTGATCCAGGTCAGACTGGAGGGGAGGCGAGGCACAGGGTTTGGTGAGGGGGTGATGTCGTTGGACGAAAAACCTTTGCCACGTGCCAGAGTGCCTCCTTCTTATCCTACCTGTACTGGAGGGTCTGCGTGCTGAATGTTGTCTTGTAAGTGGCTCATAAGCATGAGGTCACGGGCCTGGTACCAGCGGGAGTGCAGGGCATGATGGTAGATATGGCAGAGGATGGCACACGTCCGGATACGGTCTGTGCGGTCCTTGGCATAGATGTACTTGCACAATCTCTCCATCAGCACAGCTGAGTCCTCGCCTTCATTTTCTACCTGATCCAGGTCAGACTGGAGGGGAGGCGAGGCACAGGGTTTGGTGAGGGGGTGATGTCGTTGGACGAAAAAGAGAGGCAAAGACAATGGCTCTAAATAGTGCAGGCTTTAGCGACCAAAGATGAGACTCCTCCCAGCCTCACCCTAGTCCCCCGTTTCCCTCCTTGTTCCACCTCAGGAAGTCCCCAGGGAATGGGAGACTTGCTATCAAGTCCTGACAGACATGGAGAACAGAGTGACACATTCCTTTCCCTGTGACACTTGGCCAAGCACACAAACTTGCCAACTTTCTGTCCCTCCTGTCAGGTGTTCTCTTCTGCTAGTTCCTCCCTTGATTAACTCCTCCTCTTCCTCATTCCAATCTCACTTCAAAGGAAAGGGACTAAGGATCATTATCTAAAGCAGCCACTACTCCAGTCGCTTTCTACTACGTCCCAATTTGAATTTCTAATTCACACTTCATATCACCTACATTTACCTCGTTTATTTATTTGAATTGCCTTTCCCCAGCACCGAATGTAAATTCTATGAGCATGAAGGACATCCCTAGTTGTCTTGTTCACCATTACACCCTTGACTCAGTGGGCACGTATGGGCATTCACATTTTACTGAGTAATGTCCTGTATTTTCCCCATCCCAATGCCTCTAATCCAAGCAAAACAAGCCAAGTGGACAATGATTCTCAAAGTGCAGTCCCCAGACCAACAGCACCACCTAGTATATGTCAGAAATGCAAATTATGGGGCCCCACCCAGACCTATTGAATTAGAAGCTATGGGGGTGGGGCCCAGTGTCTTAGGTCCTCCAGGGTGAATGGGTATTTTGCATTATTTTGGTAAATTCTTCATCCATCCGTTCCACCAGAGTTAGGATACAGCCACGGACACGCAGCGGCTGAAAAGGTAGAGGAGGAGTAAACATATCAGCCTTGATCTCAGCCCTGCTAATCCTTCTATCTCTACTGAGCTTTCCCAGAGCAGACAACATATACCTCTCTAATTAGCCTGCTAATCCCTCTCTTTACCTGGTCAACATTATGCAGATTCTCGCTCTCTTCCAGAATGTTCTCTCCAACAAAGATGTTGGGGTTTGCAAACAGGATGTCCATCAGCTCATTGATGCAGTCCAGGCACTTCTGCCACATCTCGGGCTGCCGAGAGATCAGAAGGCAATCAGAGGTGTGCAGGTGGAATAAGCAGATGCCTCCCAAGAGCCCCTTCACCAGGAATCCCTGGGGCCTTCAACCACCAAGGCTGTTTCCACAGCCCTTGAGTTTTAAGACATGAAGTACCCTCCCCTGACCCACCAGCTTCAGCCCTGGGATGTTCCTCTTTGCTGCCCTCACCTTCATGTATGTGGCCAGATTGGGGTTGTAGTCATAGAGAGATGCAATGATATTGAACTTGATCTTGACAATGACACCCTCCCCAAGATTGTTTTCAGAAGCAATCTGAACCAGCAGCTGTAACAGCTCAATCTGGGCTGCACTGGAAAGGTACAAAACAGGGTGAGGCATTAGAGACAAGTCAAAAAGCCTCATCCTGTCATGCAGCACAGCCCCTTCAGACCAGTAAGGTGGGCTCATTTCTATTATCCCTATCCTCCCCACCTCTATCCCACTTGCTTCTCCTTTAGAAACTGAAAACAGAAACAGCATTAATGTTAACAATCTACCATCCTCTTCAGTCACTGAATGACTAAAGGTGAGCATTATTCCCATTTTATAGATGGAAAAACAGTCCTGAAAGGTTAAATGATTGGTTTAAGGTCAGAGATAGAGTAAATGGCAAAAAATGGACCAGAATGTTCCAAATATACTATTCCTTCCACTAGAGCCACACACAGATCTTCCCCGAACAGCATTGTCTGCCCATAAACCTCTACCCTGTTTCTTACAGCTTTCACCCTGCAAGCCCAGAGCCAAGGCCCACAAATCTTACCGATCAGTTCCCTTCTTGCCTCGTGCCTGCAGGATCTCATTCAGTTTCTTGATGACAACGGCATGGGTGATCTCAGTTCCCTTGGCAAACATTTTTGGTTTCTCCTAGGCAACACATAGCCTGTCATGTGCAAGCCAATAGAAAACCATTCTTTCTTTTTCTCCCAACCCAACTAGACTGTACCTGTATGCTCTCCCCAATTGTTTCCCAATTCATTTTAATTCTAAAATCCTCACCTTAACGAGGGGCACTCCACCTCGGACCCTTTCCCACTCCCCGCCTTCATTGTCCTCCTCCTCCTCGTCCAGACGCTTTGATTTCCTATCGTGCTTCTTCTTGGCTTTATCTTCCCGTTTCTTCTCAGCCGCTTTCTTGTCCTCCTCTGTGGCGGGGGCCCTGCCAGAAGACATGGGAGAAGATGAAAGACCAGCCCCTTCTCCATCGCTGAGGCTTCTTCCTCCCATGAACTTCTTTCCCTCCAGCAAGTCCTAAGTTACACTCTAAAATAGTGACCTAAAGTTAACCATAGTCATAACCAAAGCAAGGACTATTAAGTATTTGAATTGCCAGACTACTTACCAAGGTCTGTCACCATATTAAACCAACTAAGAAACTCAAGAAGGGAACAATATGGCCTAGTCTATTAAAAGTGGAGATGCTAACCAGGCCACTGTAGACACAGAAACAGCCTGTCATGTTCCTCTACAGTGAACCTCTAATGTTTCCCAGAGAACCCATAGGAAACAGTTGTTTTTTGATACTAATTGCTCTGTCCAGACTAACCTAGGAACAGCAATTTTTTTGCACTTTTTTTCTTTTTACAGATTTTAAGCTGACTGCTCTGTACAGACTGACCTAGGAATAGCACATTTTTTTTGCACTTTTTACAGATTTCTTGCACTTTTTCTTTTTACAGTAAAAAGGCTTTGCTGAGTTCTTTGAGTCATTCTAGCATATTATTGAACCTAAGAGGACTGCAGGAAATTTGAATTCATAGCTGGTTGGTCAGAAGTACAGGTGCCGAACTTGAGACTTGCAACTGGTGTCTGAGGTAGGGAGTCATCTGGAACTGAACCCTTCGCCTGTGGGTTTGGACTAGTATCAGAATGGAACTGGATTGCTGAACACCTAGTTGGTGTCCAGAAAGTTGGAGAGCTGGTTGGTGTGAGAAAAAAACCCAAACAAATGGTATCAGAAGTGTTCTGAGTAAAAGGAAATTAAATATGCAGTGCTTTCCAGACTTGACCAGTGTTCCCTAAACCACACAGTGAAAAAGGTTCTCAATTCCCAGACAAGAAAAAGCTAAAGGAGTTCAGCACCACCAAACCAGTATCACAAGAAATGTTAAAGGGATTTCTTTAAGAAGAAAAAAAGGTAAAAAATGTGAATAATAAAATAGCAATAACTACATTCCTATCATTAATTACTTTAAACATGAGTGGATTAAATGCTCCAATCAAAAGCTGGAGTGTGGCTGAATGGATAAGAAAACAAGACCCATACATATGCTGCCTACACAAGACCCACTTTAGGTATTAAGACACATAGACTGAAAGTAAAGGAATGGAAAAAGATATTTCAGGCAAAGGAAAACCAACAAAAAAGCAAGGGTAGCAATCAATACTTATATCAGACGATACAGATTTTAAAACAAATGCTATAACAAGAGACAAACAAGGACTCAGCAATTCCACTTCTGGGTATTTATTTGAAGAAACTCAAAACACTAGTTTGAAAAGACATGCATCCATATGTTCACTGCAGCATTATTTACAATAGCCAAGATATGGAATCAACCTAAGTGTCCATTAATAGACAGATAAAAAAGACACAGGACATATATATAATGGAATATAACTCAGCCATAAAAATGAATGAAATACTGCCATTTGCAACAATATGAATGGACCTAGAGGGCATTATGCTGAAATAGGTCAGAAGGAAAAAAACCAAAAATACCATGATTTCACTAGTTAAAAAAAAAAAACAAAAACGAATAGAATATACAGATGTCAAATGATAATGTACACCTGAAAATTATATAATTTTATTAACCAGTGTTACCCTGATAAATAATTAAAAAACAAACAAACCCATGAACAAACAAACAAAACAGACACGCACACACAGATACAGAGAACATCTGATGATTACCAGATGGGAGGTGTGTTGGGGGGATGAGTGAAAAGGGGAAGAAATTAGGAAGTGCAAACTGCCAGTTATAAAAACAATCACAGGGATGTAAAATATAGTATAGGAAATATAGTCGATAACATTGTGGTAACAATGTATGACATCAGATGGGGTGCTAGACTCAATCACAGTGATCACTTTGTGAGATATGAACATCTAATTACTGTTGTATACCTGAAACTAATATAACATTGTATGTCAACTGTAATTGAAACATTTTAAATTTAAAAAAAAAAAAAAAGCTTCTCAACAAAATGCCTGTGTCTAGACCCCTCTAGTGTCAGGTAATCCCCTACCTCCTGAAGCAGTGTAACTCCAACTTTGGAAAGCAAGAAAGCAACCCCAACAGCAGCAACAGTTCTGCCTATTAAAAGAGCAGTGTTTATCAGAGCTTACTGTGTAGGACACAGGGACAAGGACTATCTTGACTTTAAAGGAAGAAACTGAGACCTAAGAAGGTTAAGTAACTTACCCAATGTTGGAGAGTTACTAGAAGACTAAGGGCTGGGACTGGAATTCAAATCAGAATCCTCTCCCATTCTGTGATGGTCCCAGCAAGGCTTGGGACTGTCCTCAGGAAGGCTTGCTGCCATTTATATGCTATATATGTCTATGTGCTACATACAGTTCTCAGGAAGGGAAAAAAGTAGCGACTATCACTGAGAGCTAACCACATGCCAGTCCTAGGCTGAGCCACTTCCCTATATCACCTCCCTGTATTCTTGCAGCTATCCTTGAACGCAGGGTCAAGTACTACCCATTTTACAGATAAGAAAACTAAAGATTGGAAAAGTTAAGAAGCTTGTCCAAATATCACACAGCTTATCAGGGCCAAAGTGAGATTTACACTCAGTCTGCATGCAGTGAATAATGTCGTTAAATATTTAGACTTTGGAGCCTTCAAATCACATCAGCTTTGTGACGTTAACCAACTAATATACTTGACTCTGAGATCTCTCTGTGAAAAGGGAGCAGTTGGTGCCTACAACTTGAAAGGTCTCCATAGAAGATGTTAAAGGTGATTAAAGGTGTCCTACTCTTCCCGCTGTAGCCCAAGGTACCACTATTTTTCTTACTTTTTAAGGAATTTTGAAGCCAGCACAGTCTGTTTCCCTTCTTCTTCCTCTGAGTCTGAATCAGATGATGTAGAGCCTGTGTCCCAGTCTTCATCATCTTCTGAATCTTCTGAATCCTCATCTTCATCCTTAGAAAGTCAAAAAAAGGAAGAGCAGGAAGAAGATGAAGAAACTGACTGGTCTTTCTGCTCCCCGCAACGCATGTCCCAGGGATTTACAGGAGTAGAACAAGAGTGGTTAACCATGAACTTACAATATTAAGAGCTGGATTAAGCCACCAAGACCAAGAAATGGTGACTTGCCCCAAGAACACATGACGGCTCCCCAGGGGCAGAGCTGGGCCCAGAATCTAGTTCTCTAGATTCTAGTGCTCAGTGTTCTAATCCAAGAGGAAGCCTATCCTCAAACTAGACTCTGCTAGACCCAACTCCTCCTAACTCTAGGGTTCTGTGAGTCTTTTCTTCTCCCCAGGGACCCAAGAATGGTCCATTGGAGGCAAATCACCACTCACTTTAACCCTGTCTCTTACCTCCAGCTTTTTGAGGAACTTGCGACTCTCCCCAGAAGGAGCTTCGGATTTCTTCTTCAGGAAAGTTGCAGCACTGACTCCGTCCTCGTCCTCATCCTCATCTGAAGAGCCTGGTGGGAGAGGGGAGAGAAAAGAGCTAGAATGGTGAAGAGCAAGGCTGAAGGACACCAAGAAACCAGGCTAAGGGAACCCCTAACTTTAGATTTCTGAATCATCTGCAGAGTCTCTTCTCTCACCTTCTGAATCCTCCTCATTCTTCTCAGCATCTTCATCTGCAGACTGTTCAGGGTTCTTGAAAGAGGGAAATGAGTAATTAAGGATGCCTTCCAATCACCGCTCCATCCTACCCCTCCACCCCAGAGAGCCTTGTCATGATTCCTTCTCCAGTCACACCTCCCATCTGCAAATGCTTTTTTGTCTCAGTGATGAGGTCACTGTACCCACAACTCAAAGTCTGCCTCTAGCATTCCCTACCTGCTTGTAATTTGTAATATGGGACTCAAAATCTCGGTTATATTTTCGGATCTTCTGGCGCAGGGTGCTCAAGGCCTTGGCATTGTTCTTATTCATCTTCTTCTTCCCTTCCTTGTCTTCCCATAGCTAAAGAACAGAGAAGGAAGAAAGAGAGAACAGGGATCTGAGACTAAGTAGCACTTCCTAAGCTTCAGGTTTCACCTCCACTTTCGAGGCTTGTTATCTACCTGCATGCCATCTATACTAATTAATCGCACCTGTTACTTTTTAAAAGCGCCTTTGCATATCACCACTAAAAGTACAAAACCACAAATAAGAGGCAATATAAAAAAAAATTAAAGTTCTTGGCCAAAAGAGTTTCCTCTCCTTGTATTATTCCCATTTCTTGGGTTCTGGGAAACACTGTACATAGGCAAACAACCCAGAAGAAACATGATCCCTGAAAGTGGATTAGAAATAGGCCCCAGGCCCCATAATCGCCTTCTGGATCCCCCCTCACCCAAAGGAATCAGACCTCATTAAGATAGTCCTCCAGGTCAGCCAGGATGCGAATATAGAACCGGGGAACACCTTCCTTGTCCACAATACTCTTAGCTTTCCCGTATGCTTTTCCCAGGAGCTCAAACTCTTCCAGGCACTTGGTGACATCCCGAATCTTCATGGCATTACGAATAGTCCGGATAAGGTTGGTTAGCTCCTCAAACCTGGGATGGGAATCCAATACCACATTGGATATGCCCACCATCGCCACCCAGAAAACTTTCCACTGCGCCAGAGACTCCCCACAACACAGGCTCCCCATGGCCTCACCTCTTGTCCTTGGCACTTCGAACAACTCTCTTGGTATCTTCTTCATCCTCACTCAGCAGCAATGGTCTATTTGGAAAAAACACAGACCATTAATCTTAATCTCCCTTTTCAGTTCCAGTCTTTCCAAGTGATCTCTATTTCTCTTCTCAGAAAGGGCAGGTATAACTGAGTAACGCAGGCCATTTATACGCATCCTTTGTTTCTTCCTCTTCAAAGCCTCAGCACATAAACTCAATTTTTAAGTCTACTTAAAGTAAGGCCTTTTGTCAAATGTTGTAGCACATACAAAGAATGCTATCTCCATCCTCTCAAAAATAAACACACGAAGGTGCTTATTTATTGTCAGAAAACTAATTATGTGAGACACAAGTTACTAAGAAGAACTAAAAAGATGAGAAAAAGAGTCCTTCAGCTAGGCTTCAAGGTGGTACCTGAACTAGGTCCTAGAAAGCAATGTTTTGCAGAGTGTGAGAGGCCAAGAACGAGGAAAAAGTCTGTGGTTTGAATACCTCCATTGACAGTATTTTTCTTTAATAATGAGAAACCAGACCACAGACAGCACTCAGCCAACAATCTCTCTTCTTTCTTTCCATCTTATCACTTGTTCCAATTATATTCTATTTTATGGCCAGTACTGTTGGTTTTCCACTTGTGGCAGTGATGTGAAATCATATCTATATGGCTTTACATGTGTATATATAGTTTTAAACAATAGACAGGCATGTGGCAAAAATAACGAAGGTGCCACGCATATGACAGAAGTTTGAAAAATAACATTCCACTGTTTCAAAGGGTGAAAAAAATTTAATGTGTAGAGAAAGGTAAAGTGTTTCAGTGAAGGTAAACATGAGAAAAAGATACATAGATGTTTTTAGAACCTGCCCACAGTGCCAGGTGGTTCAGCTTCAGAGCCACATCAAGGAGCTCCCAACTATCAAAGGAACGTTTTGAGAAAGGGATTTTGTAGTAAGAATAATTATGACTTTTGAAGTCCGATGACCAGCAGAAGAGGGGAGGTAGATGGTATAAAGGTTATGGACATGGAAACAAGTTAGGAGACTAATTCAACTGATCTATCCAGTGGGAAACCTCTGTGACTATGCCCCTGGTACCCGGTGGGTGGACTCCCACAATTCACAGTACCTTAAGTCGTCCCTCCAACACTGCTCCAGTCCTACAGAACCTCATCTTCATTCTCACCCGCCCCCCAATACAGGGCCTTCTGAAGCCTGCCGAACCCCGCACTCCACGAGTGGTCATCACGGCACAGGCCTTCCACTCACTGTTTGCCGTAGTTACCCCCGACAGGTTTGGTGACGAGCTCCTCCCCGGAAAGGGACGACTCTGACTCGCTGTCCGAACCGGTGGTGAAAAACCGCGACATGGCGACGACGCGGGGCGGCTGTGGCGGGCGCGGCCGGACCTGCGGGAGGGCTGGAGTCACGTGCCACGAGAAGGGGTCCGAGCCGCCACCTCCCGACCCCCGCTTATCACAGTCCCCGCACGCACCCCTTTCCCGGTCGTCCACCTCAAAACACGCGGCCCAAGAAAGGCTTACCAGCTGAACCTGAGAGGAGTCACACCGCAGAACGGCGAAAACGCGGAAAGAGAAGGCGGGGCCTTTGCGTCACTTCCGGGAGCACTGACGAACTGTATCGGGTGACTACAACTCCCAGTGGCCTTCGCGCCACGCAAGGGGCGGGGATAGCCCCGCTGCGAGTTTGGTGGGAAGGACGTTGTTTCAAGAGTCCTTGATCTGATGGTGCGTTGTATTTTATTACTAACAGATACTAGCACCGACTTCATAAGGTGTTATGAGAATTAAATGATTTAGCATATGTGAAGCATTTCGGACAGTGCCTTGTACAAAATAAGCGTGTAATAAATAGCTAGTATTCATTCATTCCATAAATACTTGTTTATTGAGCATTTATTATCAACCGGTAGCATTCTAGGCACTGGGCAAAGTAGTGAACGAAATAGAAAAAGTCCCTAATTTTACAAGGAATTTATAGTATAGTGGAGTGGCATAATTAACAGGTAAATAGATAATTTCAGGTAATAAGCACCATAAAGTTATTAAAGTGACAGGTTAGATAGGAAGATTATTTTGGATAGGAAGGGCAGAGGTGACATTTGAGCTGAGATCCAAATGACAGGAAGGAGGGAGCTGTGCAGAAGGTCATCTAGGGAAAAAACATTCCTAACTCCTTTTCTGGGGAAGGGCAGGAGCAAGTCTGGGCCAGGTTTTAGGAATAAGGAGGCCAGTGTGCTATCAACAAAGAGAGCAAGGCATTAATAGCATAGGAGTAGACAATACTAGATCATGCAGGTCCTTGTTGGCCTGTGGGTTTAAATCCAGGTGCGTTGGCTGAACCATCAGCAGGGGTTTTAGCAGCACAAGGACTGTTTTACATTTTTTAAGATGGTTTCATTCATTCAGCATTTGCTATATATCTGGACCTGTGTTTAGTCTTGGAGGCACGATGCTCCCCTGAATAAAAAGTGGGAATTAACAGATTAAGGGGAAAGAAGGCAACTTTAGATAGAGAAAACAGTATGAACAAATTCCTGGGGACAGGAAAGCACAGGGCACATTCAGTGGCTGGTATATTAGGGTTAAAATGTGGCAGGACCTCTCCACATGTCCTAGCTTGTCACCTCTGTTCTCCTTCCTCCCTCCCGCTTCTCCTCTTTGTGTCTCTTTCTCTCCTTTCCTCCTTCCCTCTCTCTCTTCCCACAGAGCCACTTGATTCTGACATCAGCCTCTTTGCCTCTTTAAACAGATATGGAATGCACTGAAATTGCCAGTGAGGTAAAAGGTAAAGCAGATTGAGTGAGATGAAGATTAACGTCATTGAAGATGAAGAAATGCAAATTCATACTAAAGTAAAGCTACTGATTTTAGAGTGGTTTCCTGTTACTTTCAAGACCCCGATCATGTGCAAAGGAAAAATCATACCAAACTATTTTTTTACTAATCCTTTACTAAGTCATTATGAAAAATTTCAATTTAACAGAGAAGGGGATTTTTAAGTAAACTTTTTTTGTGAAGTGTAACATAGATGCGGATAAGTGACATCATAAGTACACAGCTTGATGAGTTGTCACAAAGCAAGCACACCTGTGTAACCAGAGTTCACATTAAGAAACAACATGACCAGATCCCCTATCCAAGTTCCCTTCTGGTAACCCTCTCCAGTCAATGCCCAGCAGGTTTCTGAAATTTTATTTTTTATCATGAAATATTTCAAACATAGAGACAAGAATAAAGGCTATTCTAATGAACATCTACATACTCTTAATCTACCTAGGATTGTCAAAACTTAATATGATACCACATAACACATTTCTGTGGCTCATTTTTTTAAAGAAAAATAAAAAATACACTTGGGACATTCTAGGTAAATGGAGGTCTTAATGAACAAGGTTCATTGTACATCCACAAATATCTTTAAAAGTACCTAGCATGTGCAAGATACTTTCACAAAATTATCTCTATTTTAAAACAATGCATGTACATGATCCCCAAATGTAAATGATACAAAAGAATTACAGGGAAAAAACTCTTCCCACCTCTGACCTCTAGTTCCTCAGCTTCTATCCCCAGAAGCAAACATAATTATTTGTTTATAGTGCAATT